CACTTCATGCATTTTAAAAAAATTAAATCAATAAAAAAGTTTACTTTCTTACATCCTGATTCCTTGGAGTGAATCAAATTTCTTTCATAGTAATTATTTATAAGAATTTGACTGTTAGAATAATATGCTTAAATAGTAGGAGAATCAAAGAATATACCAGTACATATACCAACATGTTATTTTTTGTTTGTGACTGAGTGAACAGAATATTATTGTTACTGTTTCTATGAGAGAGCAAACAACATACATTAACAGAGCAATAATAGGCACTAAGCCTAAACAGCATGAGAAGTATAAGACAATTTATATTAAAAAATCATCTTTTTGTCTCTGGAATTCCTACAACCTAGTTGGGACTAAAGGATTAGTAAGATATTAAGAAAAGAAATCAAGAATACTTTAGTAGAACATTAGAACTATTGATAGTAGGAAAAAGATTAATTGTCAAAGGTAGAGTGTAATAATAAGTAGCTAATAAGAATTCAATAGAAGAAAATGCAGTATAAAAATAGAGTAGGTAGAAATATTTCCAAAGAAATTATTAAATCTGCCTTAGCTATTCTTCACATATACTAGTATTATTAATTTGCATGAAACATTTTTTTAAATTTTCATGAAATATAAGTGATTCAAGCAATACATTTGTGGGAGTTCAGCATTTCACCCAAAATCACATGTCAATATGGAAATTAGCCACAACTAGGTGTGGTGTCATAAGCAGACTGTACCACCAGATACTGGATATTTTTTAAGAATTAAAATGCTGCCAGGCATGGTGGCACACATCTGTAATTCCACCGACTCGGAAAGCTGAGGCAGGAGGATCACAAGTTCAAAGCAGCCTCAGCAACTTAACAAGGCCCTAAGCAACTTAGTGAGACTATGCCTCCAATAAAAAATGAAAAGGGCTACAGATATAGCTAAGTGGCAAAGCATCCCCGGGTTCAATCCTCAGTAGCCAAAAAGATAAAAAATTAAAATGCTATGGGCACAGGCTCGGATTTTGGCTCAATGGTAGAGTTCTCGACTGGCACATGTAAGGCACTGAGTTTGATGTTCAGCACCACATAGAATGAATGAATGAATGAATAAATAAATAAATAAATAAATAAATAAATGTATTGTCTCCATCTACAACTAAAAAATTAAAAAGTAAAAATTAAAAATTCTATGGGTACATAGGATAAAGACAATCTAAGCATGCCCAACAACATTCATAAAAACTTGAAAACCCCAAAATATATATATGCTGAAAAGAGAAGAAATTCCACAGAAAACCAGTAAGTGAATATTATATTCTAGCATTATACCATAGAAAAGAAAAAATTGGAAAGTTATTAATATAAAAATTTATTTCACATACCCGCCAGTTTTAAGTCATATTTAAAATTAAAATAACAAGCCATAGAAAAGTATACTATCATTAATTATATATTTAAAAGTATACTCAAAAGATAAATCTATTTACAACTGTGTTCAGTACTTTAAGTACTATTAATACTTAATTCTCATTTACTATATTCTTAAGATAATAAATCCAAAAAAAAGTAAATACAATAAGAGGTATAGTCCTCCTGTTCACTTTCCAGGTATCTGGGAATAGTTTAGAAAACACATATTGATTTTACTTTAAAAACAAAAATTTTCTATGCTATGGCTTGGATATGGTTTGTCCCCCAAAGGTCCCGGTTAGAGGCTTGTCCTCAGTTTGGAGGCATATAGGTAATGGGATCTTTAAGAGAGGAGCCTAGTGGGAGGTCCTTAGGTCATCTTGGGCACTGCCCTCAGAAGGGATTAAGGTAGTTCACCTAGGACCTGAGTTAATTCTGGACAGAGTGAATTGTTAAAGCCTAAGCCTGATTCCTGAATCTCTCCAGCTTCCTGTCTGGCTGTGTGACTGATAAGAGTGTTCTCTTTCTCATAAGCTCCTACCACTGTGACATTACCTACCCATTTACAGGCCTTCATCAGAGATGAGAAGATATCAGCACTCTCTTGAACCACCAGAACTGTCAACTAAATAAATTTCTTAAAATTTAATAAAGTTGCCCAGCTTCAGATATTTCATCACAATAATGAAAAAGGGACTACAAGAATTTACATGCTAACTGATGCCTGAAAGATCCATCATTACCTGAACACCCTCACAATCAATACAATGCTAAATTTATGCCATATATGCAATTTCAAACAGAAATTGTTTTTATAATTATAACAGATTGTTTTTATAATTATAGGTGAAGCCATGACAATTATTCTACTGAAAATCTTCGAAATCATCCAAAGCTCAACAAAATATAAACATTAAAAAGCCATAAAACAGAAACTGTCATACAGAAGACAGCATACAAAAATCCTTTAGAAGCTTTACTTTTTTGGAAAAGAATTTCTTTTTTTTTTTTTTTTTGGTAGTTATATATGGACAGCATAACTTTATTTTATTTGTTTATTTTTATGAAGTGTTAAGGATTGAACTCAGTGCCTCACACATGCTAAGCAAGCTCTCTGCCAGTGAGCTATATATAGCCCCAGCCCTGGTGACAAAGAATTTCTTACTTAAATTTCAAATATTACAGAAAAGTTAAAAGAATAATACAATAAATACCTTTTGCTAAGATTCAACATTTGTAGGTATTTTACTATAATGCCCTCCTCCTGTTCCCTTTCCCATCCCCTCCTCTTCCCCTCTCCAGCTATCTCTTTTTTTTTTTTTTTTTTTTTGCTACCAAGGATTGAACCCAGGAGCACTTAACCATTTTTTCTTTTGAGACAGGGTCTAGTTAAGTTGCTTACGGCCTTGTTAAATTGCTGAGACAGGCACTGAACTTGCAATCCTCCTGCCTCAACCTCCTGAGTTCTGTGATTACAGGAATGCACCACCATGTCTTGGCTACCTTTTTATTTATTAAATAGTTTATTGCTGAGAAAACCATTGTAGTCAAATTCATTAATGCTTCTATAGAAAAACAAGATGCTAAGAAAGATAATGAATATTTATAGTCTTGCAAATTCAGCTCAGATTAATAGGATTACAAACTAAAAATATTTTGCATTATAAAGGAAAAAATGAGTAAAAAAAACCCATGGAATGGGTGAAAATTTTTGTAAACTATATATCTAATAAGGAATTAATCCAAAATATATAAAGAACTCAAACAACCCAGTAAGCAAGAAAACAACCAGATTTTTAAATGGGCAAAAACTGAACAGACATTCCACAAAAGAAGACACAAATGGACAAAGGGTATACGGAAAAAAAAAGCTCAACATCACCAACTATCCAAGAAATGAAAATTAAAATCACAATAAATACTGGGCATAGTGGTGCATGCCTATAATCCCATCAACTTTGGAAACTGAGGCAGGAGGCTTTCAAGTTCTAAGCCAAACTCAGCAATTTAGCAAGGCCCTGTCTCTAAATAAAATATAAAAAAGGGTTGGTGATATGGCTCAGTGGTTGAATGCTCCAGGAGTTCAATCCCCAATACCCAAAAATAAATTTTAAAAATACATTAATTAATAAATAAATAAAATTTTAAAAATAGAAACAATGATATCACTTCACACCTATTAGAGCAGCTATTATCAAAAAGATATTTGCAAAGATGTAGACAAAGAGGAACCCTTAGAGGCCACTGGTGAAAATGTAAATTAATCCAGTCACTATGAAAAACAGTATAAAAGTTCCTCAAAAAATTAAAAATAGAACTACCACTTGATCTAGCAATCCTATTGACTACTACTGGATACGTCTCCAAAGTAAGTGAAATCAATATGTCCAAAAAAATCTGCATAGTCATGTTCATTGCAGCATTCTTTACAATAGCCAACCTAAATATCTGTCAATAGGCAAATGAATAAAGAAAATGTGGTGTACATATACAATGGTATACTATTCAGTCTTAAGGAAATACTATGACAACATGGATGAACGGAGAGGACATTACATTAAGTCAAAGATGCAAGACATAGAAAAATAAATATTGTATGATTTCACTTAATCTAAAACTCATAAGGGCAGAGAGTAGAATGGCAGTTACCAGAGGCTGGAGGATGGGTGCAAAACTGGGAAGATATTGATCAAAGGTTACATTTTTATAGTGAAATAAGAGAAATAAATTCAAGAAATCTACTGTATACACAGTGACTACAGTTAATGTTGTACTTGAAATTGCTAAGGGAGTAGATTTCAGTGTTCTCACCACAAAAAATAAAAAAGTAAGTATGAATCTTGAATCTCTCTGCTTCAGAGCTGTGGCTGTGCTTTTCTCTGGAACCTTTCTGTGCAAACGTGCAGGAGAAGATTGCCCAAGAGCTCTGGTAAAGCCCTGCCTGAGGAAGTTCTATGCAAAGGTACAGAACAATAACAGTCTTGACCTTGAGTTCAGACACCAGCTGCCAGAAATAGAGAATTCTGAGCATAACAAGATAACCACCATATCTTGCAACTGCTGCCAACTTCAAGCCTGCCTGCTTTACAGAAACTCTGGACAATAGGCTTCCCTGATACAGTAGGATAATAACAGAATGTTCCTAGCACTGCAACAGTAGAATAGCTACAATAATGTTTCTGGTTCTGTAACTTTTTAGTCCACAAAGGACAATGTTCCTATAGTTTAAGCATCCTAATTGTAAGACCCTATATAATAAATATGCTTATCTAGCTTTGGGTCACTGTTCTTCCATCAGAAGTTAGTATCCCTCCTGGTCCCAGCTTTCTCTCTGTAAGGTTTGTGTGTCTTTCTTAATCCCCCATTGCACCTTGCTGGTTTGTAAGGTTTGGTCCTGGAGGTCAAAGCAAGTGAGGTAATGCATGTTAATTAGCCTGATTTAGACATTTCACAACGGATATATGTTGAAAACAACACGGTACATACCCTAAATATACACAATTTTGTTTGCCAATTATAAATAATAATAAAATATTTTTTAAATTACTACAAAAATATTATAAAAATAAGTAAAGATACAAGTTGCATTTAGAATAAAAATTTACATACCTTGGCTTCCGAAATGCTAAACTATATTGTTGGCAAGCCAGACCCACAGTTGGAGTATAAACAATAGGCATGAATTTTTCAATGTCAGACGTTAGCACTCTATAAAAGAGCTTTTCATTTCTATCTTGAAGATCCATTAAAAGAAGATACCTGTGGAAAATGGGACATAATTAGATCTACATCCAACAAAGTAATGAAATAACTGCTTAGAATTCTAATTAAACATTTTTAAGTCATGCAGAAAACATCTAACCAAATACAAATTTAGAAATGTTAAATACTTCAAAGAAGGAAGAACAATAAACTTGATTACTATCACTCCAGTATTCAAATCATTGCTGAAATAACATCATTTAACTCAACATTTAGATTTTTATCTCTATTTTAAAATGAAAGACAAATGAAAATACCTCTATAGACATAGTTTAAGCATTTACTTACCTAATTAAACAGAAAAATTTTATCCTTTAACTTCACTATTGATAAATAAGAGAAATAACATGCAGGAAATGGGTAAGGTAGTGTAGCACTCACTTTAGAAATAACTAAGACAGGCAAGCTCAAAGGACTTTTCTAAATATTGCATCTAATAGCTCTTTTCTGTCTAGAGATATTTCTGATCTAGAGTTATTTTTTTAAACATAAACCTTTTAATGTTACCTGTAATCTTCCATAGTTTAGAGAACAAAAAAATATCTGCTTGGTACAAGTGAAAAAAAAAATTTGCACAACTATATTTAACAACCTTACTAGATTTTTTTGTTTGATTTTCTGATATGGTTTAGATATCATTTGAGGGTGTTCTCCAACAGATCATGTGCTGGAAGCTCAGGCCTCCATGTGGCAATGTGAAATGTGGAGGGACCTTTAAGAGGTGGGGCCTAATGGAAGGTAGTTAGGTCACTGGGGAAGCTGCTCTGGAAGGTATTAATGTAGTTCTCATGGGGCCCTAGTTGGTTTTGTCAACTGTGAAATATTAAAATAAAAGAACAATCTTGGCCCCATCTTGTTCACTGATTTCTGGCCTTATGATCTCTCCCTCTCATAGGCATTCCTGTTATGATGCCATCTGCCATGTTATAACAGAGAAGACGGTTCTCACCAGAGGCCAAACAAAAGGGACTGCTCAATCTTGGACTTTCAGCCTCTAAAATCATGAACTAAATGAATCTCTTTTCTTTGTAGTCAGACTCAGATATTTTGTTATAGCAACAGAAAACAAACATTTCCATTCCCTAGAACAAATGAAAATGTATAGACCTGGGAAAAAAAATCAATGGATGTTAATGCTTGGGCAATTAGGTAAAATAATCCAGAAAACAAACATTTGGGAGGAAGATGGTGACTTTAATTTTAGACATGCTAAAATTAGCAATGTGGGAGTCATCATTGCTAAATCAGTGGTTAATTCTCAGATCTCGCCTTACTTATCAAGAACATTTGACATAAGTGACATCCCCTAAAATGTGGCATATTCTCTTTCCTTGACTTCTAGGCCATCATATTCTTAGTTTTTCTTCTACATCACTGGTCATTCCCTTTCAGCTTCTTTGTTGTTGTCTCTAGTTATGGTTTACATGTAACGTATCCCCCAAAAGCTCACAGGTGAAGCAACACAAGAAAGTTCCGAGGAGAAATGATTGAATTGTGAGAATCTTAACCCAACCAGTGAATTAATCCCTGATGGGATTAACTGAGTGGTAACTAGAGGCAGGTGAGGTGTGGCTGAAGATGTGGTTAATTGGGAGCATAGCTATTGGGTATATATTTTGTATCTGGAACTGTAGTCTCTCTCTGCTTCTTGATCACATGATGTGAGCTGCTTTCAATCCACCACTCTCTCCCACAATGATGTTTAGCCTCACCTAGAGCCCTGAGGAATGGAGCCAGCCTTCTTTGGACTAAGACCTCTGAAACTATGAGCCCTCAAATAAATTTTTCCTCCCCTACAGTTGTGCTGGTCAGATCCTTTAGCCACAGAAGCAAAACAGTTGACTAAAACATCTCCTCTTCTCTGAAAGCTTTCTAACACACATATAGAATCCATTAGGAAATTATGATGGTTTTATCTTCAAATAAATAAAATAATTTAAAAAATAACTGTATTTTACAAACAATTCCCCTCCAAACTGACTACCCTTTCCAAATAATGAAATATTTTAACAATTACACACAAGGACTATAGAAATCATATTTAGGAACAAGTTACCTGTCAAAATCTGAGTTCAGACGCTCAAAATTTTTAACTACTCTAAGGACCTGGATGTCCTGGCTGATGAAGCAAGGTGGCAACAATCCATGAATATTCAACTGTTGTCTTTCTTCCAGAGTAAAAGCTAAGTCCTGTGGAGAAAGGGAAAACACACTAATTTGAAGAGGGAAAAAAAGGACAAAAAGTATGTCACAAACACACAACAATAAATTCCAATGAGGATGGAATTAAAAATCAGAAGATCTGGCATCACTCTCAGCATGGTCACGCAACTGTAAATAAATCATGTCAGTTCTCCACACCTCAGTTTCCTTATCTACAAAAATTAGAATACTGGACTTTTTAGAGTTCTGTCATTTGTATATTGTTAGGATGAAATTAGAGAATGGATGGGAGGAAACTACTTGAAGCACAAAAGTGAAAGAAGATATAATCATTAATGTCAGTAAATACAAAAATAATATTTATTATAAGAAATTTCAAGATTATGAACGTGAGTATGTCACCTGTGACCTGCTGTGCTTCTTTGCCTCAGCAAATACCTTGTATGATTCTGAGATACGTGTTCCAGCACTCTTCTCCTGAGTTATCACACTATTCTTATGCACTCCAGCTATGCAAAACTTTTCCCCATTGCTTAAACACACCACACCCTTCTATTTTTTGTGGTCAAGAATGTCTTTTTTTCTTCTCTGCCTGTCAACAATTACCTCAAATGTTCCCTCCTTTCTAAAGTTTTATCAAACTGACCTACTACATATATTATAGTCTTATTAATTTAATATGTTATGTTTTCTATTTACATGAACACTGATTGTATAAAATGATAGTAATAACAAATTATGGAGTTTAAAAGCAAGCAACAAAGCAGATATTATGAGTTGGTGCGAAAACCAGAATGGACCTAAGAGATTTGCTAGGGTATAATATGGAAAATAAAAGCAAACAAGCCTCTGTAGTTGTTAATGGGAGAGAATGATATGGAAGATTGGGATAAAGAATCCCTCCAGAGAAGACTCTGCCTGGAGATACAAAAGATCAATAGGCTTCTTTGACTCCTGCATTGCTGTTTCTTTGCTGCCAGCATGCATATGAGCTGACATGATATGATGGCTGCTGTTATGACAGAATGTCTGTGCCCCATCAAAATGCATATGTGGAAATTCTCACTCACAAGGCAATGGCATTAGGAGGTGGGAATTTGGGGGGTGATTAGGTCACAAGGACTCTCTACCCTCCTGAATATGATTAGTTTCCCTACAAAGAAACCCCAGAGAGCTGCTTTGTCTCTTCTGAGGAAACAGAAGATGCTAGCCATCTATAAAGCAGGAAATGGGACCCTCACCAGACAACAAATCTGCAGCACCTTGATCTTAGGTTTCCTAGCCTTCAAAAATGTGAGAAATAAATTTCTTTTGTTTATAAGTTACCCAGTCCATAACATTGTTACAGAAGCCTAAATGGACTGGACTACAACTCTCAGTTTTGCGCATTGATTTTTTTTTTCAATTAGCCATAATCACTCCTCAGACAAACGTCATTGGTTACAATACTAACCCTGTGAAAAGCTAAGTATGCACATTGTGACTATTACTGCTATAGACAACTTGGATAGAGAGGAACACATTCACTGTCATGAGTGGTTCTATAATCATCCTCCTTTGTCCCTGAAAATTACTTGCAAGGATAGAACAGTGACTCCTAACTTCTTATGAAGTTTACTACTTGGGGTCAAGAGCAGACAATTTGGTTCAACCCAGAGGGAGATGACAGACCCTGAGTGGTGAAGTATGAACATGTTTAATACCAGAAAGTCTGTGAAAGAGACCAAAAGATGAACAACCCTCTCTTTCTTCTAATCTCTGACATGATCAGTTCCATTAATTCATGCCCCTAATAGAAAGGCTGTTTAAATAGCCTACTGGATCAGGAAGACATACTAAAGAGACAATTAAATTTGTCCACTGAATGACACCCCACAGTATCTTAGTTGACTACAAAAGCTAGCAGAGACTAATGGCTCCAAAATTTCCAATATAAGATGTGTCCATGTCCAACCTCGAATTTTTATAAAGTCTCCAAATGAATCAACAAAGATGAAATCTAGCTACCAGATGTTTTCCCCCACTTCAGCTATTCTCATAGCCACAAAATTCCCACTGTTATATGCTCACTTAGGAATGCTGTGAGGTTTCAATAAGTAAAGACAGAAGCAGAAGGTCTCTTTCAAGAAGGATAATCCAATATGGCCAACTGTGTCTGACCCAATCACACTCTCCTGGATGCCTAGAAAACAAGAGACTAGCACAGTCTGCCTGCTCTTTACCTAGGAGTTCTAGGCAGCACCAGTAGACACCTGTGGTATTGCCTGGGTTCTTTGCCCATTTATTTCTTTATTTGTGCTTTGTGTCCCCACCCTAAAAAGCAAGCTCCTTAAAAATCAAGAAATTTTGCTTGTATTATTCATTGCTTTTTCCCTAGCAGCTAGAACAGATCTGACATAATTAGAACTCAATAATTTATTGCACATAAAACAAGAAAACTTTAAATAACCAACTCTAGAGTCATAAACATTTTATAAAACTATAAAACTGGTGTTTAGGAAACTGATAGGCATATTCATTCTAAAATTTAACCCAACCAAGAGGAAATATTTTGTGAAAAGATAATCTATAAACTGGAAGGCATATTTCACCTGCCCAAGGTACAACTGGAGACTAATAATTTAAAATGTCATGAAATAATCCATTAAAATGAAACAAAATTATATATAGTAATATATTTGTAAAATATAATACATTTTTCTTTAACTACAAAATACAAAGTGGGGGATTAGGCTAAACTGTCAAAATTCTATAAATATTTAGAAGCAGCAATAAATTTCTTTATGTTATGCTTTGAAATATGCCTGCAGAAAATGATAATCAAAATGTCAATATTTTAGCCAAACTCAGTGGCAAATGCCTATAATGCCAACTACTCTGGAGGCTAATGCAGGGAAATCACAAGTTCTAGGCCAGCCTGAGCAATTCAGCAAGGTACCATATCAAAAGAGCTGGGAATGTAGCTCAAGGTCAATATTCTGAGAATAAGACTTATTTTCAGACATACTAACATAGGATCCTTCATTCATTTAATTATGGCATTTACCTATCATTTATAGTTAGCCAATCTTTTTATATAAAATTTTCCAATGTCTGGTCCAAAACTAATTCCTAAATCTAACAGGTCTCCCATATCTTATGCCACATAACTGATAATGCCATCTGGAAATCTTTGATATTCTTTGATGTTTAGTAACTACAAATTCCCACACTCTCTCAGTCAAAATATTTACCCTGGGACTTAGAAATATGGAGTACTGAACCAGCTTAAAATATTATGATTGGGAGGGGAAATTATCCTATGATCAGATTCATTTTCTTTTATTACCTCTCTATGAGCTAAAAAATTTTCAGTAAGACAACTTAAATCTTAGAATCCCTGAAAATTTTATGATATGAATTGATTTAAACCAGTTTTTATTTTTTCATACCAACAGAGGCATATTTACAGAGATATATTTTGTAAAAATGTGTAAATAAGTCAGTTATATCTAAAACTTGACAGTTAAAATGATTCAAATAATTCTTTTAGCTGGGCACAGTGATACACAACTGTAATTTCAGCTACTTCGGAGGCTGAAGTAGGAGGATCCATTCAAGGTCAGTCCAGGCAACTTAGCAATAACTCTGTCCCCTGCTAGAAAGAAAGAAAGAAAGAAAGAAAGAAAGAAAGAAAGAAAGAAAGAAAGAAAGAAAGA